GCGAGCCAAATTTATTTTTCGTTTCAATAATTATATGCTTATTTTTTCCCTTAATGCCTTCCAATTAACCTTATTGTCACTTGTTCTTTCTTTTACCTACTTAATCGTTACTTGGTCGTCGTGTTTTAGTTTTTCTTTCTATTTAAATATCTGGAAAAAGGTTCAGAAATTGCAAGAAAACAATTTAAGTAAATTTATTTCCCAAATAGAACTTTTTCAATTGCCTCTTATCGCAGCACTCATTAATTTGTACGCAACAGCTTTCTTATGCTAAAGATATTTTCACTTTATAACAATTCTTTGAAGTTGAAATAATATCCAATCACACATGCATCTGAAATTTGGACATGGTAGTAACAATGTGGAGCTTGAATAGGAGTATCTAAACAAACCGTAATATTGGAAGACTCAGTTACTTCTTTTTCACCAATGTTTACCTCATTAACAAAAAAAAAAAAAAAGGTATGAGAAAAATGGTGATGTGTCTGAAGAGTTCTTAAACTTTTTATGGAAGTTCAAAATTTCAAACTTATTCAGCTGGCCTACGTTCCTGTATTAAACCAGATCCGAAACCGGTTCGCATTGCCAAAAGCCTTCACCAAATTTTTTGATCGTATCCCTGGAAACTATCCGTGTTATGAATTAGCCCCTCAAATCATTAAATCGCCTTTTAGTTATTTTGAAAGCAATCCCCTCAAATCATTTGAATTTTCATTATATCCGAAAGTGGTCTGTAGTAATTCGAGGGATTAATTTGAGATATCTTATTAGAATTGATGGTCCAAACAGCAAATTCAATAATTTAAGGACTATTTCAGAATAACTTAAGAATCAGCGGACCAAATAGTAAACCCAAGCTAAATGAATTGAGGATTAATTAAAAATATGAAAGATTGAAGGGACTGATAAGAAAACAAAGGGGAAAAGAAAGAGGAAAAACCTATAATGCCCAAAAATATACCAAAAGCCCCTAATCCGCCATCGTTTCAATTCGAAATTCCCAAATTTGCTGACGATGGTAAGTTGAATCTCTCCTCTCTCTCTCTCTCTCTCTCTCTCTCTCTCTCTCTGGGGTTTCTAGGGTTTGATCTCTTTCCGCTCCACAGGACCAATCTCTAGAAGAATTCGAGCCCTTGTTCGATTACAGCCGCGTTCAGCCGAAAGATTTGGTCTTTTTGGATGGTAGTCTCATCTTCTCTGTCGTTCTCTTCTATTTTCAGTCAATAGAATTCGGTTCTTATCACTTCCAGGGTCTTGTTCATGCTTAGATGAGGAGCTGGACTCGTCCCCAATCTACGTTCCAGTGAAGAAGAAGCAGAAGAGCGATAAAGCGGTAATTTTTGACCCGAATTTGTGGGGTTTTTAGGTTAAATGGGGTGGAAATTGTTGATTTTTTCCCTTTAATTTTAGGGGAAAGGAGACGTTGGGAAAGAGGAGAAGCCGAGAGAAGAGAAAGTAGTGGTTTTGGATGATGAGGAGGACTGGTTGGCTCCTCCTCCGCCCAAGTTGACGAATGATAGGTCGGCCTTGGAAGAGGATAGCACAATCAAAGCATTGCGGTATGTTTGTTTTGCTTTTCATTTGAAAAGTCTGATATTTTGGTGTTTTAGGGTTTAATTAATTGTTCAATTGTGGGTGCCAGTGGGCAACTGTTGTAAGATTAGGTTTCTTGAAATAGATTAAATTCTCATATTTTCTTTTTTTGTAAAGTTTTAAAGGGAAAGGATGGGTACAGAATTTATAGTTTCACTTTGTGGATGTGGAAGAAAATATGTTTCATGGGAGTTCTATTTGTGTGCTGACTTGTAACTTTACACCCACATAAGCACACATGCATACATTTTGTTCATGAAACACAAATACATACATATATAAAATCAAATGTGTGTATACATATGCATGTGTCCATGAAGGCAGATGGATACTTGCTTATGTACAAAGTTCACTGTTGTTAGTTTTTGCATGAGGATTATGGACTGGTAGTTTACAGTACATTTTAAGAGTTCTTATTAGTCCTAAATATTCTGAAATCATTCTTACTTGTTTATGAATTACAAGAGAGATTGGACTTTGTATGATCCAACTTGCCCCTTATTAGATTATCTTTCTTGTTTCTTGTTTTCTTATGGTGGTTGTGGCCCTTGTGGGTGTGGGTGTTTGGGATGGGGGTGGGGGGTTGCTTCTTGGGCTAAACACTGTGTTGCCAACTTAAATACTGGATGGTAGTGTCTAGAAAAAAAGGTTGTTGAGTTGTTTTATGCTGGAACTTATCAAGGGGAAAGGGAAGGTCCTCTATCGGAGTTAGATTGGCAGTTACATTGACAATGACGCAACAGAATGATGGCGGCAGTTAACAGGAGGAAATTGGATGATGGTTGTTTCAAGCTTGAGGTGGCCGCTTTTAGTGGGGATGACATAACTGTGGGTTTTGTTTTGCTTGTCAGTGACAAAACAAAGAGATGGAAAACATTTTGTGCAGCAATACTCAAATGGGTTTGAGAAGCAAGAGAGATGGCACAGAGGACTGTTGTTGGGCTCTTTTGAGGGCTCTTGGCTTGTCAATTTAGTGGTTGCCCATTGTATTGGTTGGCAATAATAGGGAGAGAGAGAGAGAGAGGCAGGGAGGGTTTTTCGAATGGCTTCTACAATATTACACCAATCTCAATTGCAATTTCAATGCAAAACTAGTTCTTATCGATCAAGTCATCAATGAAATAGGGAGCATGACGCACATATACATATACACGTCTAGACATGCACACGCATGTTCAGTACATCATACAAAAAGTACAATTTTGTTTTCCTGAATAAATCCAACTAGAGCATATTGCTTTCATGCCAATTGAAAGAATCATGGTAGGTGATGATGGCGGTACATGCAGTACTGTGTTCATCAAATTTAATTATAGAAAAAGGTTTATAATACCTAAAACGATTTGTAACCTTACACGAGACGAAACCCAGTCATTTATTCAGTCATGTAGTCAATTATGCCTATACTGAAACTTCAACGACACTCCTCGAATATATGCATACATTTATTCAGTCATGTACTCAATTATGTAATATATATTTTAATTTGAAACACTTGTTATACACTTTTTGGACACATCCGTTTCCGTGCAACTAGGCTTTGGGTGGACATCATCAACCAACATACTCCTACACAAACAAATGAAGTATTATCCATAGCTTCTTGAGCTGATTCGAGTAATCTAGTCATTAACTTTCCAAATCAAAGTTCTTGTGAATCTCTTTACTTCCAAATTCGTGTGCAAACATCATTAGTGTAATATAGACCATTGTAAGAGGACCTTTGATTTTACTTAGGAGACTTACATGAGGAAGGCATAGAACACTTTCTGATGAACTATGCAAGCCTATTGAGATTATAGTCGCTAAGAGTCGTGAGTTTAGGGCAATGTCCAAGGTTGAAACAGAGAAGAAGCAAATGCTAAGCATCCTTTATAGGAATGCAATTAGTAGTCTATGTATTTAATGATGTGTATGAGACCTTGTATATTCTTCAAAGTAGGATTGATGAGTAGACATCAGTCATTCTGGTTTGTGGTGTCCACTCAAAGTGAGTGGGTGGATAACAAATTAATCCTAGCTGGTCACAAGGTTGGCTGATCTAGGAACCCTAGTGTCATAAAGAGGCGCAAAGAAATGCAAATACAGAGAGAAAAAGAAAGTCACCACCTTCGCTTCCCTTAAATTCTTATTTAGGGGTCAATAGTGGTGTGATATTGGGAATTTGTCTGTGCAATCAGTGGTCCCTCTCCGTTTGTTGACTAAGGAGAGGGTAGCAAGCCTAAACGAATGATCACATCTGGTAATCCCTAAATTATATTTTATTTACTAGAAAATTAGAAATCATGTTACGGTTCATTTTAAACCCCGTTCTGCATGATTATATGCTAGTGCGCTCTACATGTGTGGATTACCTAAATTTAACACGTACTAAATTAAAAACCGTAAATGACGATGCTATTAAGTCTAAAAGACCATTTAACAATTTGAATTTTATATCTTATGTGTCCTGTCTGGGAGAATGTAAATACAATCTAGTACGTTACCTTTAGGACTATAATTAGTATGGGTTTTTTAATTCACAAAAGGTCAGCATATTTTGATATATCACTATTTCAGCAGGTATGTACTATTGTACTATAAAAATTAGGTTTTCCCATTCTGAGAGTGTGGCTGCAATCATTTGGTAGTTATGTGCTTTTCCGTGTTGCTAATGGAATATGTGAACTTCAATTTAACCGGTATGGTTCTACTTTGTGGAAATATTGTCATTAAATGTCCAGTTTCTTTATTAGTTAACTGGATCTTAATACTGTCAATCTTTGTAAAACACAGGTTAAAGAAGCAAGAATTAGCATCATTGGCTCAATCTGCTGAGGATATCCTGAGAACAGTGACTGCATCTACCAGAAGGGATATCAGTAACCCTGAAAAAATTGATCTGGAAGCAATCAAGGAGCTTCCATCAAAGAAAGTAGATAGGAAAAAGATTGTTATCTCAATTCAGGACAAGGATGGACAAAAGCAATTTCGCATGTACATGGTATCACTTCTGAACTTTAGTTGGCACAAACTCTATATTTTTGTACAAATAGTCTTTCTGTTCTTGTCATGCTAATTACTGTAATGAGCAAATTATTTGTTCATCTGTTCACGTCCTTTCAATTATTTGAACACGCTTGAATTCTACTTTAAGCTTGGTTCGCACAGGTGATTATACGAGCCTTTATGAGCTCTAAAGGAGCTAGCTCAGAGCTTCAGCTTTTTGAACCTATCTGAAGTTCCAAACGAATAATAGGGAATGCAATTGAAAATTTTATTCAGAAATATGTGAGCTTGAAATTTTTAAGAATTAAGCAGTGAAATTTAGAAAACATATTAAGTGCTAAATAGTAACAACTTTTTCTCAAGTATAACACTTTTTTATAAATTGATGAGTGATACATTGCTAAAATATTTTATCTCTAACATGCTAAATAATGACATTATATGTGATCAGTTTTATTTCTTTTTAACATAGAGCAGTTATATTATTCAAATTCTGGTAAAAAAAAGACTTTAGATCAATCGAAAGCACTTCCTTCATCCCATCTAAACAGAACCTTAGAGACTCATGTGAAATATGGATTTAATTTCTGCCAACTGAGTGTCAAATGATGTGTATTTAGATATTCTTCTCTATGCCTTAGTTTCCTTCTCAAATGTGTCGAACTACTTGTGTCTTCTTCAGCTGTGTTCCATACTCTGTAAAAGCTGTGGCTTCTTTGTAATGTTATCTTATGCCAAATGCCAGTAAGATCCATAATTTCTATAATTACCATATTTGCGAGTGGCTCATCGTATTCTAGGTTAATTGCACATTGACCACCCTGTACTATTTTCTTTTTTGAACTTACTACCCTTGAAATTTCATTTCGGCAAATAGACCCCCTGGGTTAAATTTGTCAACTCATTTACTCGGATCTAATTTCAGCCAGGGCCAATATTTCTGGAAAATTTCACTTAGGGTGAAAGAGTCAAAGAAATTTAATCCAGGATGTCTATCTGCAAAAATGTACCTATAGTGCTAGTTAGTTCAAAACAACGAGCCTGCAGGGGTCTATGTACAGTTAACCACTTAACCCTATTCTATATTTTGAAGTGTTCCATTATTTTCTCCTTCATAGACTGATATATTAGCCTACTGGATCTGTATTACCCTTGATTTTTGGTTAGATTGCCAGTCCTTGATATGTATTTTTTTAACCCTTCTAGATTTCTCTAGGGCTGGGCATATTCGGTTCGGTTCGGTTTTAAGCCCAATCCGCATCCAATCCGAATTTTTCGGTTTCTCAAAACTCTCATCCAGATCCAGATTTTTTTCCCCTTCATCCGATATTCGGCCCAACCGAAATTCGGTTCGGTTCGGTTCGGTTTCGGTTTTGAACCGAATTAACTTCATTTCACAAAAATCATACCAAATTGTTTAGTTACATATCATACCACAATAATAAACTCATTAAAGAGTTACTTAGTTACAAACTCATTAAAGAATACTTAGTTACAAACAATGCAAATAGTCCAGAAATAATTAAAAAACACCTACTTAAGTTCTTAAGTTCAGTACATTGAAATTAAAATAAACATTAAACAAGCAACAGCAAATCCCCGCATTGGCAAATTCTACAAGGTTTGTGATGATGAGGCTGAAGCATCTGTGACGACAGATTCTACAAAAACAAGAGAAATAACCTTTAAAAACCATACTTACAAAACAACAGAGATATATAAATTCAAAAGCAAAACAAAATAGCTACCTGATGTGAGCTTTTCCAACTCAGAATACTGCTCCATTTCAGTCTTGATAGGCTCAATAAACACTGGCTTAAACATTGGCTTGCTAGTGTCTCTCAACCAGTCACTAGTACATACCAAAGCCTCAACCATTTTTGGGGTCAGACTTGCACGAAATGGATCCAGAATCCTTGATCCAAGGCTAAAAGCACTTTCAGATGCTACTGTTGAGGCAGGCACTGCAAAAATATCTCTTGCAATTTGAGACAAGATTGGGAACCTAGCTGAATTCTCTTTCCACCAACCTAACAGTTGAAAGTTAGGGTTTCTAGGGTCCTCAGATGCCTCCACCATATACTTGTCAACCTCAGTCTTTATCTCCACCACATCTTTCTCCTGCCGAAGCTTTACAAACTCATTCACAGTTGCAGAATGGCTGTCCTCCTCATCAACTATTCCACTTGAGGCTGACATTGGCTGAGTTGAATTATAAGAAGCAAGGGCAGCATCAGGATCATTAGCTGCATACTCATTGAAGAGCTCCTGCAATGTGCTCTTCACATTAATCACCAACACCTCCGCCAGCTTCTTGTCTATCTTCAATTTAGGGAAAAAGAAATCCAAGTACAGAAGCTTGTACCTGAAAACAAAACATAATAAAAATATGTAAACAGAATAACACTACCAACAGATATGCAATAAGAAAAGTAGTAAACAAGCTCAAACATGTAAACAGAATAATCTAGAAATATAAGGACATGTGCGTGCTGAGCAAAGGTAGGTAACAAAACTGAACAGAACAGAGGAATAAAAAGAGAGAATAAACTTAAAGGATAAGCCACTCCTGTAGTCATGTATATAACCCCCAGTGAGTACAACGAAACTGATTTGGGTGTCAATTATGTAACATCTTGTTTTGATCTCAATATGGAAAATGGTTTATTAAACCTTAGAAATATTTAGAATTCTAAAAAAGGAAACAAGCTCAAACAGAAAAAAAAAATAGGAACACGTACTAGAAATAGGTAGTCAGTCATAGTCCACATTTCTTGATGCTGAAGATACAAAGCTCTTAAATGATTGTTGACTGAATTAATCCAATTAATCCAAGAAATAACAATGTGGGTCAATATTGGCAGTCATTTTCCACGGAATTCAAAGGTCCTACAAATTAGAACATAACACCATATGGATCAACGTAGAAAGTGAAGTGAGTAAATAAAAAAGCAGGAAAAGGACTAACACCACCAATTTGCTCAATAAGCAATAAAAATGCCAAATCACTGCTTAACTTCTCTCAATACGGTATGGTTTGTTAGTAAACACAATTGTATACTTCAGCTCATAATTGAACTAGTAGTTAGTAAACACAATTGTACTGGATTCATAATGCGATTTCCGAAGTTACATAAAAGGGCACTCTTTGATGTTCAAATATAACCCAGTAGTTTGTTCTCTTATGATGCTATGTATCGTTGACCAAAAAAAATCTCGACTTGATTCTGAACTTTGAGAGCTGATACTTGATAAGCTCTACAAATGACAAGGAGCTACATGCAATCATTCTATTAACCACAAAAATAGCATCATAAATGATTGTGATTCAATTTATCAGTAAACAACAGTGCAATACCTTGGATCTAGAACAACTGCAATGAGAAGAATTTTGTTGATGCTTTCAACCTTCCCCCAATATTTGTCGAATTTCTCCTTCATTGATTTGGCAATTTTGGCAAGCAATACATCATTACCTTGCAAAAATACGCATAAGAGGCATTTAGTTAAAATTGTTAAATTATTAAAGACATAAAAAAAGAAGATAAAATCATAAAAGTAAATTTGAGATGAAGTTTAATAGTTTACCATCGATGCACTTGTTCATCTCTCCAATCAGTGTACACATCCATTGGATTGGCTGATTCGAAGTCACAACTTGTGTCCCACTGAAATCAAGGGTTGCCTCATAAGAAATCTTCAAAAACCTCACCAGCCTTTCAGATTTGTTCCAATCCTCTGCAATTGGAGGTCCAGCTCTATCATTGAAGTATGCAACAAATTGTGGATCCTCATCCTCCAACCTAAGAAATGCCTTCCGGTACTTAATGGCTATGTCTAACATTAAGTATGTAGAGTTCCACCTAGTGCAAACATCCAAAGGCACTATCCCACCTTTGTGCTCCACTTTTTCTTGAGTTGCACACTTTCTAAACTTCTCCAACCTAGAAGGACTTGATCTAATGTACTTCACACAATTTCTAATGGACTCAATCGAGGAGTCCAGCTCTGCCATTCCATCCTTAACCACTAAGTTAAGAATGTGACAGCAACACCTCATATGCAGAAACTCCCCTTTTAGGACTAGTTCATTCCAATTCCCTATCTTCTCTTTCATGTAATCTAAAGCCACTTGATTAGGAGAAGCATTATCAACAACAATGCAGAAAATTTTCTCTATTCCCCACTTAATAAGACAAGTTTCAACTAGCTGCCCAATAGTCTTCCCCATATGGTTTGGTATCACACAAAAGTTCAAGATTCTTTTGTGTAAAATCCAATCATCATCAATAAAGTGAGCTGTGAGCACCATGTAATTGATATTTTGGATTGAAGTCCAAGTATCAGTGGTCAGTGAAACTCTCTGTCCATAAGTGGCTAAGATATTTTTGATTGTAATCCTCTCCGACTCATACAACTCCCAAATATCTCTAGCAACAGTTCTACGTGAAAACTTCTTAAACTGTGGTTGAACATGACTTATAAAATCCCTAAACCCAGGTCCGTCAACAAAACTAAAAGGCAGTTCATCCCTAACTATCATCCTAGCAAGAGCTAACCTACATACCTCCTCATCATAAGACCAAGCAACTAACCTACCCCCCTTGTCGAATGATTCTTGCGCCTTGAAATGAAGAAAAAAATCTTGAATCAAATAACTCAACTACTCAATAGTTAATCTGAATTTGCAAATGCAGAAAGTGAGAGAATAGAATTTACCAGGTGCTTCTGTTTCTTAGGGACCCTAAGTGGACACTTCGGGCAATTGTAAAGCAGGTGGCTCCTCATGTTGCTGGTTCCGTTCAATCTCGAATCACAACTATAGGTTTGCGGACACCAATTGCACTTTGCTCTCGGCTTGGCCAAAGTTGTGCCATCGAGATTCTTCATCAATGTGAAATGATCCCAAGCAATGCTTCCGTTCTTCCTCTTCGATTGAACAGAGGAAGATTGGCCCAGAGTTGCAGTCGAAACTGACGCAGCAGCACCAAGGGGAGTTTCAGTGATGTGTTGAACCATGGCAGCATGTGTAGGAGTCGTCCCAGATCCTGTTCCAGTTCCATGGCTTGAGGACGGATTGGTTTGACCCGAATCCATCACCTAAAAACAAATCAAACATGGATTAGGTTCATGAGAAATGGTTGATTTGAGAATTTAAGAAGAAAAATGGAGTTGGAGGAAAGAAATCTTATATACATCTTTGTTTTCCCTCTTTTTTTAAGCAAACAAAGTTAACAAACAGCCCTTTATAGGGGAAAAAAACCCTAGAAAATGCAAAGTTTGCGGGAGCAAAATCCAAATAAACCAAATCGAAACTTCAGTCCAAAAACCACCGCCCCCTCCTCTCTCTAAAAACCAAAGACAAAAATCAAAGCAACGGCAGCGGCAACTTCACACCAAATTCATTAACCCCAACCAGTACCACCCTCCCATTTCCTCGACCTGGTCCTTATCCACTCTGTATAAATAACAAGCTATATAAAATATTAACAAACCCAGAACCCTATTGAAACCCCCAAAAAAATTTAAAATTTTAAAAATTAAAAAAAAACAGCAACTTTGACATCAAGAATCTTTAAGGAGAAGAGAAGAGGAGAAGAATTACCTTCGACTATTTGGGATAACGGATGCTTCGACTTCGATTTCCAACTGTCTGCAGAGAACGTATTTTGAGAAGGATTGAAGGAGAGGCGAGAGGGGAGAGGCGGCGTTGGGAGAGGCGAGAAGGGAGAGGCGGCGTTGGGAGAGGCGAGAGGGGAGAGGCGGCGAGGCGGCGTTGGGAGAGGCGAGAAGGGAGAGGCGGCGTTGTGGCCTGTGGGAATCTGAGGTAGGGTTAGGGATTTTAACTTTTAAGTATTTATAGTATCGGTTCGGTTTTTTTTGGGCGGTTCATGGGGTCAAACCGGATCCAGACCGGTTTAATTCGGTTCGGGCGGTTTAGAAGCTTCTTCTCATCCATTTAATTCGGTTCGGTTAACCGATCCGCTTTTTCGGGCGGTTTTTTCGGTTGAACCAGTTTAATTCGGTTTTTGCCCACCCCTAGATTTCTCCTTCATGTTCCTTTCGATATATTTTCCCTACTAGATTACTTCCATGTCATGATTTTATAAAAAAAATTCGTTGGCCTTTATGTTTGTGCAATAATTTTATCTTGCTAATCACTCTTTATTTCATAGGATGACAATTTCTCAAGACTTTTCAAAATGTACGCTGAGAAAGCTAATCTTAAGTTGGAAAGCTTAGTTTTCATATTTGACGGTGATAAAGTTAGTTCAACTGCAACACCAGAAGGCCTTGGCTTGGAGGATGATGATATGTTAGAAGTGCACATCAAATCTAAGTAAAGGTCCTTGCAATCAATGTCACAATCAATTTTATTTTGTGTTTTGAGCTCGTGTTACTCGTGTGATTGTAATGAATATGTAGCTCATCGGGTCACTCATAGAATGATCTATAACAATCCTGTGATATAAGTTTTGGCAAGTTGTAAATATAGGTTGTTCTTATACTAGCTGGTTATAATTATTTTGAGGTTGGTTAGTCTGTTAAATTTGTCGTGTCTTTTCATGTTAGTTGTTATTTGTACTCTGGATCTTTTGTAATGCGTATGATCCAGCGTTACAGAATGGTTTCCTTGTCGGTGCAGGAAAATTTTGGTTCTGATAAAAGTTATTTCAGTGAAATTTACTGTAATGAATCTGAGCTCTAATATTCACTTGGGTGTTTTGAGAAGTGCAACGCATTTATTTGGTTGCTCTTTTAGCTCTTCAGCAAGGTCATTGCAGTAATCATCCGGTAGATTCTCACTAGATCGCACCTGGCATTTGATGTCTTGGCATTTGCTCACGTGCTCTCAACAATTTCCACGAGCTTATTGAGATTCCTGGAACAAGGGGTTTCACGAATAAGAGGAAATTTGGGATGTAGAGTTTCATAACATGCGCTTATTGCCTAGTATGGCTCCTATTGTTACAACTGGGAACAAGTTCATCTGGTGCAACAATTAGGAGGGCCTGAGGTGTACTTAGAAAGTCCTCGATAGAGTCCTTCAATCATTGGACCTCCTCGGCTATTAGCTCAAGCCCTTCACCGCTCCTTCTCTGATCATTCTTCCATCATCCTTTCATGGTGTCTCAATTCTCATTCCGGTCCGAGGTTTTGGTGGTACCAACGCATGTGGTCTCGGCACAACTCCTTCCTCAATGTAGTCCAACAACAGTGGGCTTATGACCACCACTCCTCCCCCTCTTAAGAACCTCTGCATCAAACTCAAGCTTTTGAGACAACACTTCAAAGAGTGGAACTCTACCACATTTGGGAACATTTTTGCCCACAAAAAGGAGCTGGAATCCGAGATTGATGCTCTCGAAACATCCCTTCAGTCTCATTGGTGTTCGGATGCCTATAAGAAGCTTCAAGATTGTAAATCCAAATGGAAGGAAGCATCTATCCAAGTGGAGATCTTTTGGAAGCAAAAATCCCGTATCAAATGGCTTCGAGAAGGGGATTCCAATTCCAAATTCTTCCGTGGCATAGTCCATAGCAAATTGTCGCAAGTTATCATTAATAAGCTTTCAGGACCAGATGGAGAGAATCTCCAAGGTCAAGAGGCCATTCATGAAGCTTCCGTATCATTCTTTGCCAAGCTTTTCTCCTCTGAACCCCACCATCTCAAGACTGATCTTCTCAACCTCATCCCCAATAAGATCTCCACAGATATGAACCTCATGCTATTGAGACCTTTTGATCTCTCGAAGCTCCATCATGCAACCCTCTCTATCCCAGTGGACAATGCTGTGGGTATTGATGGATTATGGTCATCATTTTTTACTTCCTCTTGGGAAATCATTGGGCCCTCTATCCTTGCAGCGCTAATGACCTCCTGGCTCACAAACGCCTCCTTGAAGCCATCTTTCACACATCCCTTGTCCTCATTCCCAAAAAGCAATCTGTCCTCAGCTTCAATGACTTCCCTCACATAATGTTATGTACCACCTTATACAAAATCTTTGCTAAGACGATTGGCATGAGACTTGCCTCGGTCCTCCCCATGATCATCTCCCCCAATCAAGGGGCCTTTGTGGAAGGCCGGAATATATCTGACAATGTGAGTCTAGCCCAAGAGATTTGTCAGGATCTTGACAAAAAAACAAAGCATCCCAACGTCATCCTCAACCTAGACATGCATAAAGCATATGATCGCCTTGAATGAGATTTCTTATGGGAAGTCCTCATTTGGTTTGGCTTTTCCATGGACTGGGTTGAGCTCATCAAAGCTTGCATTTGCAATTGCCATTATTTAGTGGTCTTTCAAGGCACATATAGGGGCTGTTTTAAGAGTTCTCGAGGTCTAAGGTAAGGGGATCCATTATCTCCGAGCCTATTTATCATAGCAGAGGAAGTCCTATCTTTGGGCTTTGCTCACTTCATCCCTACTTCAGCCCACTTCTCCACTACCATGGCCACTTGCCCCACCCAACTTCTATTTGCGGATGACCTGATCATATTTGCCAATGCTTCTTGTCAGTCCCTCATAGCCATCTTGGATATTCTGGACAATTACATGTAATCCTCGGTCCAGCTTCTCAGCCTAGCTAAGAGCCGATACTATATTCAATCTAAATCCTCTCGATCGTGCACTAGGATGGTCGAATCTACTCTCAAGTTGCCTAGAGGTGTTTTCCCAATGACCTATTTAGGGGTTCCCATTGGCCCAGGGCATCGTAAGATAGCCTCCTTCTTGCCCCTAATTGATAGAATCAAAGCTCGCCTGCAAGGGTGGCATTACAAACTATTGAGTAGTGCGGGTCGTATCATTCTCATTAAACATGTCCTCAGTAGCATGCCCATTTACATCCTCTTATCTACAGCATTCCCTAAATCTATTATGAAGATGATTGAGGGTTTGCTCGCTAATTTCTTCTGGGCCTCCTCCGAGTATAGCAATAAAAAACATTGGCTCAGCTGACATAAGTTGTGCATCCCTGTCAATGGAGGGGGCTTGGGTTTCCGCAATCTTTTTGATGTCCAAAAAGCTTTCATCCTCAAACAATGCTGGAAACTATGCAACCAATCTTCCATTTGGGCTTCATTTATAAGTACAAAATTCAGCCATCACGCATATCTTGGTCAGGCCCTCAACGATGCTCAGTGGAGTGGAAAAAAATTCCGGCCCTAAGACATGAATTTGCTGATCGATGTTCATGGATCATTGGCAGAGGCAATGTTTCGTTCTGATATGACCGTTGGCACCCTGAGTTTCGACTAGATCTCCTCAACCCTAATGGGGATATCCAGGTGAAACTTAGGGACTTCTACAATAACGGTACTTAGTCATTCAAGGGTTTACTTCCCTCTCTTGGCCATGAAGTGGTGTATTCCCTATATGCTCATGCTCCTAGGCTATCGGAGGATGATGATAAACATCATTGGGCCCTGAGATTATGGGGCCATTCTCCAACAAGTCTGCATGGAACTCTATCCGTGATCACCATCCCCATATACATATTCTAGAGGATATTTGGGCCACCCCCATGCCTACCTCGGCTGGTTGTAGGAAAATTTGCGAGAAAATTAAGAGGAAATGTTAATTGAGAGGAAATGTTACTAATTCTCCTTAACTGACTTAAGAAAAGAATGAATATAATCTCTCGATGTAAACCCTTTCTAACTAACTTGGAAAAAAAATTATAATTTTCTCTTATCAGTTTCCCAATTTACAAAAGAGTGAATAAATCGATAAAGATCATTCCCTTTGTTTAAATCTGGATTCTTCTTGGTAGCGATGAGAGTTTGAATCATGTATTCCATTGACGATCCGAGCACTTCACTTCATAGAACATGGTCTATTCCTCTTGACTTGACGTCGGGAAAAACTTGCGAGACAAGTTTAAAACTCTTAACGAGTTAAGAACTTTGAACGAGTTTAAGAACTTTATAAAAAAGTTAATTTTAGAAAGGAAAATAATCCTTTTAATCAAAATTAAAGAATAACCGATCTTCAGTTCTTCAACCGGAACTTGGTTCAAAAGCAAAGGCTAAAAAGCTCCAAAGCTTCAACAAAAAGCCTTCACAAAATACTCCAAGGGCTCCTCAAGATTGCCCCCTTTTTTCAAGCTGTGAAACCAGCTATTTATAGGGGTTTAAGAGGTGTAACTGACCCCTTAAATTGCTCCTTAATGGGGGTTTAGTGACCCCATTAAATGAGTGTAACCGACCCTCTTAAATTGCTCCTTAGTGGGGGCTTAATGGCCCCATTAAATGGGCGTAATCAACCCCTTAAATCACTACTTACTGAGGGTTTATGGGATGTAACCGCCCCTATAAATCTCTCTATAACGGGGGCTTAATTGCCCCATTAAATAGAAAACCATTTCAAGTGATTTGAAACGGTCAAACGTGACGTCCGCGTTCTAGCTTCAAAACATGATGGTGAGCCTGGCATTTGGCTGTTGAAACGTAAAGATGTGACCTCGATATTTTGTTGTTGAAACGCGAGAATGACCTCCGTGTTTTGTTGTTGACACGCGGGAATGACCTCCATGTTTTGTTGTTGAAACGAGGGAATGACCTTCGCGTTTTGATTTTAAAAACACGGGAATGACCTCCGCATTTTGTTGTTGAAATGCTGGAATGACCTCCACGTTTTGTTGTTGAAATGCGGGAATGACCTCCGCGTTTGGGCTTGAAGAGTTCGTCAATTGTAATCTTTTTTTCTCAAGTTCTGTAAAGATCGTCATCTTGTAATCCTTACATTCGGCTCTTTGAAATGTGAGAGTTGTCAACTTGTAACTCTCGTATATCGTGAAAGTTGTCGAATTATAACTTTCATCTGTCGTTATAATGGTTGTCAGTTTGTTACCTCCATCATCAGTGTTTTGTGGGGATCAACTATCTAAAATAATTTTTAGACAGCCTACAGAACCTCCTCCAAAGTTTTTAAAAGTTCACAGTTAACTAGAACGAATTTCTGAAATACTTTGGATCTCGATTTTGATCTTGGAGCTGTTGATTCCTTGTCGTAAAGAAGTTGTTCCCTTTATCAGCTTCGAAGGCATCTTGGTTGGAGGGATTTGTCACACAAGACCCGTGCGAGGGTGAGTGCCATGCTTTAGCTCCTGAAACGCTGAAGTGAGCCTCTCATTTGTCTTATAAAATGCGGAGGTGAGCCTCGCATTTTTCTTGTGAAACGCGGGAGTGAGCCTCGCGTATTGCCTTTGAAAACGCAGAGGTGATCTTCGTGTTTTGATATTGGAACGCGGGAGTGACCCTCGCGTTTGGAATTTGGAACACGGCGATGACCCTCGTGTTTAGAATTTGGAACGCAAGGATGAATGACCCTCGCGTTTGGAATTTGGAACGCAGGAATGACCCTCGTGCTTTTGATAATGAACACTTATCATTCTGTTGAAAAGAACAAATTCATAGGGGCTTAAATGTTAGAGGAGTGATGTTAACATAATAATAATTTGGAGGCTTATCATCCTATTAGAGAAGATTGATAAATTAATCTTGTCGGAGGTGTGATATTAACTTGATGAAATTGTGTAC